ACATGCCGGATCACAGTCCTGCCTGGAGCAGGTTTGCCCCACACCCCGCCGTGCGCAAAGGCCGACAAGCGTAGGGCGAGGACCCGTCCATCGCCGCTTGCGGCTTTAATTATAGATTTGGAATCAAGTCACGAAAAATTGACAGATGGGATTAAATCAATGTACATGTAATAGACTTCATGTGGTTTGTATGCGTAACAGTAAAACAACAAACGGTTCTGTAGTATGTTGAGTAATTTTCACTAAAGCTTTGGGATTTTTTTTGTGTGTATTTTGGGTTCCAGGTGGCTTTATACTTTATACTAAAAGGTCACTCAAACTTATAGTTTCATGTTTAGTAAGAGTTTTTTAAAAGTTGCGAAATAAAGGAACAGATAGAAAATCTTGACGTAAAAACAGTCAAAGAGAACAACTCTATCGAAATCAAGAAAGTTCATCTCCTACTTATTGTGTAAGACGTTCTTCCAAACGTCTGGTAGGTTATTCTTAGGCAAAATCTCTCCGCAGTGTTGTTGCAGTTAGTCACTTATCTGAGTGGCTGATCAAACCAGCCGCACTGTGAGCCACATCCTAATTACTATGGTGTGTGCTGTTACCCCTTGGGTGATGTTTTGTTGAGCAGCTCAAGTCTGGGAGGCAAATGAAGGTTTGAGGTGATTTATTGCACATCAACTTAATCCCTTCCGCCGCTTTATATTGTCATTGAAGAGCGGTTGCATGAAAACTATGCCTGAGAAATCCACATGTGGTTTTGAAACTACACCAGTTAACCACACAGGGGTGCTGCTGTACTGCACTGCTCTGCTGCTCCTTTATTGGAGGCTTTCATGTAAATATTTGACAACACCATGAGTTTCTAAAGATGGCAAACCAATATGAATGTGATGTTACATAAGGAGCTGTCATAATTGTAAATGTCACATCTCACTTTTTATTTAAAAAAAAAGAAAAAAAAAAAAAAGCCCCTTCTTAATTTTCACACAACCTAACAGTTTTAAATGTCAGTTTTTTAGGCTCTCAGTTACTCTGAATCATGTCTGCCTACCTGTAAACATGTCACAGTTTACATTTTGTCAACCCAAATTGAAATTCAAATCCATCAGCCATGGGCTGCTTTAAGATGTATGATTGCTAAAAAGAGTTAACTTAATTCACAACACAAACCTATTTTGCCCACAAAAACAACATCTTTCAGACAGTAAAGTCTCATGCTGTGTTTTCTCCATATTGGCAAACCTATTAATAAAAGCTCAGTGTTGCTGTTGTGTTAAACTTTTCTTTCTGACAACCTTCCACCTGAAATTAATAAAATATATAATCTAGTTGCTATATATCATAACTACACATAAATCTCTCCTAACTGTTTCAGAAAATAGATGCTCAAAGTAAACGGAACATCTAATGTTAAATCAGTCATCAAGGGTTGTAACAACAGAAAAACTACTGATCAGCTAAACTTTAACATTTGTTTTTTCCCCATTTATCTTGACACTTTCCACTTCATCTCCTGTAACCAGACAGTGAATGTGCTCAGATCTCCCAGGAGATGAAGAAAATCTGCAAAATACCTTTTTTCCTTTCATGCACAGATGCAAGTTGCGAGACAGTTTCTTTTGTTAATATTTTATTTCACATGAACAAAATGTGTACCATAGAATGAATACTTTTTTAAAAATCTAAAAATGTATTCTTTCATTCATTTTAATGGACGTACAGCTCATCCTCACAAAGAACAAAATGTGCAGGTGGTAACGTGTTCGACTTACGTCGAGTCATGCATGACCGAGCATAAGCAAGTGGTGAATGTGCATCACAGCCAATAAGATGAACTCATCATCACCACATCTTTTACCCCTAAATTTTGCAATCTGTTGCACAAACCATACCAACACAAGAATTCACAACATTACAGCACAGTGAAATGGCATACATATAGGCTACATTTAAATGCATTTACAATCACAACAACAAAAGAGTAAGTCTCACAGTGCATGTAGCAGCAAAAGAGATTTTTCAAAGCAAGAGGCTCTTAAAAGAACATTCACAATCATAGTAGGTAGTCCTAGAAATCTGTGAGAACAAAGAGATGAGGTGGAAAACCAACGTTCATGCAATGCAATGACTGTACAGGCTGCACTGCTACAGCAAAAAAGCCTAATTTAAAAACAAAGTCGCCTTTTAATGCAAATATCAGACCAAACTGATCTGGTTTCTTCATAGAAGATTAGAAATCAGGTTTAACTTCCTATTACTCCTTTAACATTCACCTAAATTACTACTTCTTTTTTTACTTTGCTTTGATCATTTTTCAACAGGTTGTTCCTGTTTTTATTTTTTGTTTTTTTTTTAACTGAGCACAAAAAAACATATAGACAACATTCTAATCTACCAATGCATATATTCCATTTTCACATTCATGTAGCTCTGCTTTGTGCTGTCAGTGGGGAGTAAAAGGGTTATGAAGTCTGTCAGGGAGCACACACGCCTTATTTGGCCTGATTTTTATAAAAGACTAACCAGCACTGTGTGTCACACAATCTGCAACCCTGAGAGAAAACTAGTCTAAGTTCAAGGTTTGTGTTTTAGAAAACTACTTTTTGAGTCATAGTGGTTTCACTCTAGATGGCAATGAAATTCTCTACAAACATTCATGCTCTCCAGAACATGAACCCAACTGGCTCTTGCAGATTTCCTGACCTTGTCCTTGGTGGTTGACATTTTTGGTCTGAAATCTGCAGTGAGGAACTTTTGTCTCCCACTTCTGGCAGTATGTCTCTGCATCACCATCAAAGGATTTCTTACATCGAGCATCAGAAACTGTTTTAGATGGTTATTGGTTGTTTTTTTTCCCCCCCACTGTACGCTGCACCGTACTCCTAGCTGCCGTAGCCTACTCCACCTCTGTCGCTACAGTTGCAGCCCTCTTCAGTTCTGACCAATCATTGCTGGTTGACATAAAACGCATCCATACCGGTGCACCAATGTGGGATTGTTGCTCAGACACCAGATTTAAAACTGTAGTACACTGCAAAATACAGAAATACTTCCCTTATATTGTTAATGAGGATTATGTGAACTCCTTTGAAAGCAGCTAGCCTTAATTTACATGCTAAAGTCCTGCACTCTAACGCCAACTGAAATGCTTTGACAGCTATCAGATGGATCGGATTGCCGTGAAATGTGGCCGTGATCTATGGTGCCATTTGGTTAAACACTAACAACTTTGCTGACCCCTTGACTTTTCACTTAACACCATCGTAATGTTTCATCCAACCTCGGTTCATGACCACATGTTCGTTAAAGTAAGTACATTCCCGTCCACCTCTGCTGTACTTTGTGTTTAGTGCTAAGTAGCCAATGGGGAGCATTGTTAATACTGTAGCTGTTAAACATCACCACTCTAGCATTATCACAGTGAGCACACTGCGTGAGCATGTCATCAATTCCAGCGATGACAAAAAAATAAACTGTGCGTCTTCATGTCGAGCTGCATCTCGTGCCTTAGATACCGTTCATGTGGAGAATGCATTAACAGTGTGTCTAAAGAAAATGCTGACTGATAGAGAGAAAAAAGGATAGCACACATTCATGAATATTATTTCTACATATAGAATAACCCAAGTGCATATAACGTAATTGTACAGTATATTATCCATGGACATGATATGGTTTGAAGTCACAGTGCTGTTTGTTTAATGGTGCAGCCTTTCTTGCAGCGTGGAAACAGCTTCCATGAGTCAGTGGAACATTAAGATCTAGTGCAATCATTTTTTCCAAAGTTTGTTGATAGGGGAACTGCAACGGCCATGTATAGAAGAGTTCCACGGGGCAGGTGCTTTGTTTGTCTTTGTGCCTTAAAATGATGAGTGCAGGACTCGTGTATTCACATGTCGGATTCATATCACAGGTTTGTCTCTCAGTTTCCAACCCTTCATCCAGCACAGCACAAAGGTTACTCTGGGTCATAGTGGCAGACTGGAGTACATGTTGTTTTGTGGATTTACAGTCACATCTGGAGGGTTGCGCTGTATGACATTGTCAAGGGGTAAAGACAGAGCGCAGTGCGCCGCCGTCGTCTTCACGGCTCCTTTGCTGAAGCGGCAGCTCAGCAGAGAGTACAGGTGGCGAAACACGGACTTGCGGCAGATGATGAAGACCCAGGGATCCACGATGGGGTTGAGGGCGTAGAAGCGGAAAGCCGTCAGGTTCTCCGTGTCCCCGCAAAACGGATGAATGGCGTTGATGAAGCCTGCAATCTGTAGAAAGAGAAGGTTGAAGTTAGATAGATGGATACAGCGTTTGCTCTTCCCAGGTTACAGATGTAAAGCCTGGAACAATCTTTGACTAGAGTGGTTTTCAATATGTTTACTGTCCCAAATCAAATAACCACAACAAAAACCAGCAGGGTTGTCGGTTCCTAATGTTGCAGCTACTTTCTGGAACTAAAGTGTTTCACTTCGACTTGTCCTGAGGACGTTTAATGAGCATGAGCATTTTTTTTTTATCTGCAAAGCCCTGTTTCATTTTCAGTCAATGGCAGCATACAGCTTCATCTGTACCCACAGAACAGGTTTGAACATCCTTCCTCTCTCCGTATCACCCGTCCTCAGCATGAACTCATCTAGAACAATGGCACTAACAGTGTAACTACCCAGCTGCTTTCTATAAAAAACCCAGTTTTTCCACCTTTCTTGCTCTCATTAAAATCCTTTGTGTTCTCACCTTATCCTAGATTTTGCTCGAGTATTTGAGTAGGGAAGTAATAATGATTGTTTTGTTTTGAGAGGAATGTTGTTTGGACGCTGTCTTTGACCTATCTGATACCAGCCATTTTGGTGATTTTTTTTTTCATAAGATCAGGATTTACTTTGGAAACGTAATTAGTGTTGTGGCATTTAAGAGTGGTTTGTCATTTCATAGACTAAATAAAGAACTGATTAATAAGCAATGTTCCCAAGTTAAGTTTTGGTTACATGAGATTAAACACCATCTGCTGGATGAAGCCAAATCAAAGTTGCATGAGAGCGAATACAATGGAGCTGTCGGCACTTTCTTGTTAAAGCGATCAAAGTGCAGAGAGATGAGAACAGGGCTGCACTGCTCAGTATCATTCTCAACTGAGGCTGCAGTTCATCTTGTTTTGTTCGGTTTCACCAAATGTCAACACGTGTCTCCGATAAAGCACATTCGGTGTGAGCACTTCAAGTTTCAGTGACCTAAATATAGAACCACACAATGTTGCATGAAAAAAAACACCACTTTTTCTTGCATTAACCTTTAAGGTATGACAGACTGCAGACAGGCGGATCGGAGAGCAGCAGCTGGCTGCTTATTCGTCCCGGGCAGAGAGAGAAGTGGCAGCTGGTCCGCTAAGCTTCTTCGTCACCTTGCTCCCCATCTCTATCAACAATTCTCCATTTCCTCCATGTAATATCCAACAAACAGTGGCCTAATTAATGACTTGTGCTGATTGAGTGCTTTTGTACATTGGTGTAAATGTTTCCCTGTTGCTAGGGTCTGGACTGAAACTAATGAGCTCAAGACAAATGTGAAAGGGACCAGAGGGAGCAAGTCCAGAGCCAGGCTAAATCAGACTACCAGAGGGAGCAGACACAGGTCAAGATTGTGTTGTCTACATGCTCATCAACTGGCTAAACTCACACGGATATGATTGTTCACATATTGATCAACAGATACACCCACGGAAGGTCGGGCGGACGGAGAGGAAGAAGCTGGTAGTATGCAAACCCCAGAACAGCAGCAATTATCTGGTGGTTTTATCTTAGAACATGTTGAGCTCAGTGGCACAATAACGAGAGAGTCATCATCTCTGAAGCGTTTACAAAGAAAACAATGTCCAGATGTTCACGTCGTTTTAGGAAGTGATCACGTTATTTCAAGTTGTGTGAATTTTCTTGAATTGCACAACTGGTGTTGTCGGCATTACGACTGGATTCTCACTGAGTTTACGAGTTGAACACATGAAGGGTAAAGATGAAGTATTTATGGATTACATTTATACTCACAAAAACACACACAATGTACCCACGTCAGAGATGGTGTGTCCTCAGCTTCCTTTTCCTTTTTTCCACCTTAAGATTACAACCGCAATTACAAGACTGACCAAAAGCCACTTCCTTGCCACTTTTTGCCCAGCAGCTACTGTTCTCAACAGAAGAACTGACATTAAACTCAACCCATCTCGTGATAAAGTTATGTAACGTATACCTCCTACTCAGCTACTTGTAAATTCAGTACTAGGTTTGTGTTTTAAGTTCTTCCAAAGCTCTTCAAACTCGCAGTTAACCCAAAAAAAATTACAGTTTGCAGGATAAAAGAACACATTATCAACTAATCCTGTGTAAATGCAAGTATTACTGGATTAATGGGAAGAATAGCTTTAGACTTATGCAACCAATATTCATTTTGTAATTTGAGTTTGTGTTCTTTTGCTCATCATTACAAAACAGACTTTCATCAAGTAAGCTCATGTTCCTCTTACACCGGTTTAGAGTGGAAGACAGGCAACGGCAAGCTAATGTTAACTTGTCAGCTGGTTACTTTAACTGCAGCTTTAATCAGTTATTTGTACTGGGTGTTAATATTTGAGAAGAAGTCACCTCTGTGCAAGAAATCTGTCGCTGATTTTAAGTCAATGACATGGAAATTTAAGATGTAACTTAAAAACAAGTGTCTCAAATGAATGTTTTAAAAGCTTCAGTAAATAATCGTGACAGATGTCCGCAGAAGTATGAAAGTCAAAGCTCACAACACTCTTAACAGTCTTGGCTTTTGACCAGGAAACAGACCTTAGGCTTGCAACAATTTGTCATTTCAATGAATACGTTTAGAAAAATGAATCTTACTCCTACTGGCATAAAACACACTAACAAACACAGTGACAAATGTGCCTTTTGCTCAACGCAAAGTTGACACGCACTTAATTCATCACACACTGTTGCCAGAAACATTTCAAACAGACATGTATCATCGTACGCTCTGCCATCGCCCTCGCCATTGTTATCTCAGCCCCACATTACCACCCTCGTTGAGTTCCTGTGTGCCACCCTGCCTCTTATGGTCCTTTCGGCAGACCTTAAGCCCTGCAGATAGGGACACAAATCACAGGCTGTCCTCTCAGAGCACTGCAGGCTGTGGGGCCAAAACTGATGACATGTCAAGCTCTCCTTAAACAGGAGCATATTCATGTATCAGCCTGTGGTTAAAGAGCAGGCCAGAGACAGTGTACAGGATCGTTGTGGTTATTTAAGAGAACAGAGAATCATAAAAAGCTTTGCAGGCACATACCGTGACCACGCTTATAGACGTATTAATCAGCCCAAGTTCACACATGTGCAACATAAACAGATGCATACAGTACATTGTTGCATATACACAGACACATCCATCCGCGGCCCTCCAACCTGTGCTGCATCAAGGAGAACTGCATGGTTACCTTAGTCATTACAATTGTTTCACTTCTGATCAGTTACTTTATCTTGACACAGCAAAACGTCTTCAAGAATAAATCTCAAATCCATCCATCTATCCATTATCTATACCCCGCTTAATCCTCACTAGGGTCGCGGGGGGCTGGAGCCTATCCCAGCTGACTTAGGGTGAAGGCAGGGGACACCCTGGACAGGTCACCAGTCTATCACAGGGCTACACTTAGAGACAGACAACCAAGCACACTCACATTCACACCTATGGACAATTTAGAATCACCAATTAACCTCAACATGTTTTTGGAAAACCCACGCTGCACGGGGAGAACATGCAAACTCCACGCAGAAAGATCCCGGGCGACCTTCTAGCTGTGAGGCAACAGTGCTTACCAACTGCACCACCTTGCAGCTAAATCTCAAATCATTTTAAAATTGTTATTGAATTTGCAGATTACATTCTTGAGTTACTGATTTGTTGTTTTGCCTGTAACATAACAGGAAACAGTGAGAAATGCCCATCTCATTGCATTAAAGCTACAGCTGTTACTATCAATTTGCTTAATACTGCATAAGAGAAAGCAAACTTTCACCGCTGGGAAGCTCGAATCAGGAAATGTTTGGGAATTGTTTACTTACAGGAGTAATCTGTTATCGAATTAGTGGCAGATTACATTTCCGCAGACAAATGGATGAATTAGCTCCTTGTTTCAGGCCAACATTATTTCACTTCGATGTTCGGATGTCTGAGAATCTTAATTTACCTGAACCCAGTTCGTCTGGTGTAAATGAGCGCCTCCTGTCAGAGACACATAAGATGCTATTTGGGGCTGATGGCTGCTGCATCATTCAGGAAACAGACCACGTAATGGATGTCTACACTCTACAACCCATTATTTTCCATCTCGAGGTCCTGGTGGACTCTTCCTAAGTCTCGCTTCCTGATCCTGTTTCACTTTGGGATCATTACACAGGGATCAGCAGAGCAGAGATTACTGGCCACTCAGAGAAGCCTGTTTACAGCAGTGAGAGTGAAATGCAGCAGTGCTCCAAGGCTCTCTGAAGGAGTTTCACATTTTAGGGAAGAAGAGTAAGAACAGAAGATCAATACCAATCTCATGTGGGTTTCTTAAAACAGCTAAACACTTCTTGTCCACTTGGAGAAACAAGCTGCTATTACAACGCTGACATCAGCCACAACACTACAACCACCAACAGGTGAAGAGAATCACATTGATCATCTCATCACAAAGCCATGGTCCGCTGGGGAAGCTTGGATTCGTGTGGATGCTGCTTTGACACGAACCACCCACGTAAGCATTGGTGCAAACCAAGCACACCATCATTGCAACAGCACTCGCCAATGTTAGCAACATTCACTTTCCACATTACAAAACAGGAACACGAAAAAGAGCCAAAAGCATTGATCTGGCCTCCAAGTTCTCCACATCCCAATCCAATCAAACTTCTGTGGAAAATGCTCAATCCATAAAGGCGCCAGACACCACAGGAAACTCCCCGTTGATTCATCGACTGGTCAGAGCTGTTTTGGCAGCACGAGGAGGAGCTACACAGTGCTGTGGCTGATGGGTGTGGCATTACCTGCCACGCTAACATGGATAACTGAAGCTGTTTAGAATGATGTTTTTGTCCACGTGATAAATGATAAAACACCAGTGTTCACTATTTTAGCTCCATGGACTCCTAAATGAACTCCTGAGATGCTAAATGCTCCACTATGTTCACCAGTTGCCAACATTGCCTTTGTAAGTTTGCAAATCATTTGATGCTGGGTCGTTGTACAGTCAGTC